TTCGTCACAAGGCAACAAGTAGCCCAATGGAAGAAAGGACGAAGAGCTTGTACAGACATTCCTTGAAAGATGTATAAATGGCCAATGAACCTATGAAATGCTGCTCCACATCACTAACCATTAAAAAAGGCAAATCACAACCACGATGAGGGTCACCTCACACCCATTAGGATGACCACTATTAAAAAATAAAATGATGGCAAGGATATGGAGAAATCGGGACACTTGTGCGTTGCGGATAGGAATGTAAAATGGTGCAACCACTATGTAAACAGTATGAGAGTTCCTCAAAAAAAATTAAAAATACAACTACCATATAACCCAGCAATCCTACTTCTGGGCTACGTGCAGTCAAAAGGATTGAAAGCGGGGTCTCCAAGAGACCTCCATCTTCAGAGAAGCATTCTGTGTCATAGCCACGGGGTGGGAGCAACTCACATGTCCATCAAAGGTAAATGGATAAAGAAAACGTGGTATATACTGATGTTTATTTATTTATGAGAGACACACGGAGAGAGAGGCAGAGACACAGGCAGAGGGAGAAGCAGGCTCCATGCAGGGAGCCCGAGGGGGGACTCGATCTCAGGTCCCCAGGATCAGGCCCTGGGCCAAGGCGGCGCTAAACCGCTGAGCCACCCGGGCTGCCCTCTCTTTCTTAGTAAAGAGAAATTTTACCACATTACAAGCACAGTAGGACACAATCACTTGTACATTTTCAATAGCTTAGTCTACACCCCCAGGTGACTCGGGCTGAGCGTCCACCTTCGGCCCAAGGCCTGATCCTGGGATCCGGGATCGAGTCCCCCATCAGGCTTCCTGCATGGAGCCGGCTTCTCCCTCGGCCTATGTCTCTGCCTCTCTCACTCTCTGTCACTCTCATGAATAAAGAAATAAAAATCTTTAAATAAAAAAAAAAAATAAAACAAAATAATTCGCTTAGGCCTTTGCTGGAAGGTGCTGCTTGTTGCTCAACTTAGGTTCCGTGGAATCCGTGAGGCACGATCATCCTTACATTCAAGGCTTGCCGTTTCTTGTGTCACCAATGTGCTCCTTCCTCTTTAACCCTTCCTCCAGAGGTGGGTCAGGGAGGGGGTCCCAGGAAGTGAGGTCACTCCCGTGACACAGAGCCCAACAGAACTTGGAGCCCCCGTAACCAGGCAACCTCATCCAGTGCAGCCCCAACTCAGGCTCACTTGGCTGGAGACATCCGCTCCTGGAAGATGTTTTCTTGCTGCCGGCCCACCTCTGGGGGCTCTGGCTCCCAGGTACCCCAGGGGTGCCGCTTGTTCCAATGCTGTAGGCTTTGGCTCCAGCATAAAAACCAACGCCTCAGGGAGTTTATCAGGAGGCGCCGTCAGGTAACACAGAGCAGGCCAGGCCAGGCCCCCTGTGCCAGCCATCCTGGGTGGCCCCATCCCCTCCTCTCCAGCTTCAGGGACACAGGGATGTGTGGGCAGGTCGCTTCCAGGCTGGGGGACGTTGCAGGGCGGCAGGTTCCCCGGTGATCCCTTCAGGGTCACCGTGAGGTCAAGGTGGACAGGGTGGAAACAGGGTTCCTGAGGTCCTCTTACCCGCCCCAGAGTCACCCCGAGGCCCAGCCGGACGGAGCTGCTGGAGCAGGAATTCCAACAACTGCTGCCCGCCTTGCTGCGCAGGGATGTCATCTCGGTATTCATCTTTTTAGATGAATGTCATGGATTTGCCACCACCGAGGAGGTGCAGGATCTGCTGTTTACGAAGTGAGCACCTGCCCCTCCGCGGCCCAGGGGTGGGCCACCTGCTGGTGGGGAGGCTGGGGAAGGGTTCTGAGCTTCCGGGGCCTCGGGCTGCTCCCCCGACTGGAGCAGAGTCACCCAGGGCACAGTGGGGTCCTGGAGGGCAGCCCCGGGGCCTGGCCTGTGGCAGGTCGGCCAGAGGGGCTGTGCCTGTGCCCAGCAGCCGTCCTCACCCCATGACGGGGCCTGTGCCTCCTCCCCACCATCACCAGGGTCTTGAGCTGGCCTCTTTTCCCGTTGAAAGGGATGTTTGAGAGTCCACCGGGGGTCTGTGTCCTGGGGCAACCAGACAGGGGGACCACGGGGACCCCGGGGCGCCCAGGCCCACTCGGATATCGGCCATGGGCCTGGCCGGAGCCCTTATCATGCTCAAGCACTCAGGAGGCCCCAGCAGGTGCGGGCGCTTCTCCGGGAGCTGCCCGTGGCCCCACGCAAGGAGCTGACGGCCCCCAGGGCTCCGGCGTCGTCGGGGGTCAGAGGGTGACAGCCCCCATGGTGAGAGGTCGCGGCCACAGGACGATTCATGGGATGCCCCCCGCCCTCCTCTAGATATGGGTGCATCGCAGGTGCGTGTGGTGGCAACGACGCGGTCCTGCAGCCCTGGAAACTGTGAGTGACTCCGGCTGCTGCAGGCGGGCCTTCCCTCTCCAGGAGGGCAGCGAGGGGGCTGTGGGTCGGGGGGTGCTGGACACTCACCCCACACACCTGCAATTCCTGTGACAGGGTAAAGGTCTAAGGGCCCTTAAGGAAAAGAGGAAAGGAGAGCTGTGAATAGGGTGTGGGCTTGGTGGGAGAGCACTGGGACCCCGAAGGGAGACTTTCTCCATGCCCGCCCCTCCACCCCTCTGTCTGCCCCAGACCTGGGACCCAGAGCAGAGGGGGTGGGGAGCATTGCACTCCCCAATATGGTGGCACCTGGACCGAGGTGCACAGCAGGTTGCCAGGAGGGCCATTGAGGGATCACGGACAAGGTGGCCATCGCCCTGTGGGAGACGGGAGATTGGAGTCAGTGGAAGGACATCCCCTGGGGCCCCTCATGAGGGAGGCAGCGCAGAGCCACAGGAGGGAAAGTGGAGGTCCCGGGTGGCTCCTGGCAAGGCCTGGCAGGACACAGAGCCCGAACCCTCCTGGCTTGGACCTTCCCAGAGTGACAGTGTGTGCAGTGAGGGCAATGACAAGCCAGACGCCCCCCCCACCTCGTCCCCGGACGCCTGCCGGTGGATTCAAGGGGCAAGTGGGCAGGGACCCAGGCTGAGGAGGGAGCCCCGCTTCCCCAGCAAAGACAGCGATGGTCACACTGCTGGGCGTGGGCTCCCCCGCACAGAGGCTTCGTGCCAGCCCCTCCTCGGTGAGCAGGCCTGTGGCAGGCAGGACCGCCAGGTGGCAGGTGGACAAGGAGCAGGACTGGCCTCCGACAGGCCCGCGTGGGAGGCCGAGACCCCGGGTCCTGCAGGGCTTCCCCGGGACACCTCGGCGTGAGGGAGCCATGTCTTCTGACGCCTGTGCCCACCTGTCCCTCCCCAGGGCCATGTGCTGCATCCTGGAAATATGGATGGATTATTATCGGCAGGACTTGTGTCAGCTCCGAGAATTTGCCTCCCTGAAGAAGATTCTGGAATTCCTAAGGCAGCGCATGCTAGGCACAGATGTGGAGCTCCGTGCCCGACGTCACCTCCAACAACTCAGACGCCTTCATGCAGTGGAGCCAGAGGCTGGGGGTGAGGAGTCCTAGGGGTGGCCGAGCTGGGCACAGGGTGGGCCCCACGGATCCAGCTACCTGTGCAGCTGGGCAGGGAGCAGGGTTTAGGCTCACACCCCATCCGCACGAGCTGCTAGGCTGGGGACACCTACCAGGGCTCTGCCCCCCCACCCCACACAAACACTGAGCGGTGGGAGAGTGTCCTTGATTTGGGAGGGACGTGGAAAGTCCGTCCTGGTGGTGATACTTTGTCTTCTTGGAGCTACAGCTTTGGCCCGAGCAAAAGACCCTGAGCCACTTCAGCAGCCCGCCCCAGCTCCAACTCCGGGGCCTGCTGCCTCGGTAGGGCCTGAAGTGATCGAGGCCATCCTGACAGCTGGGGCTGAGGGCTCGGCCCCAGCTGAGGTGCCAGCTGGGGAGGCGAAGCCCCTGCAGATAGTCGTCACTGCTCTAGTTCCCGCTGCACCCTGGACGAGCCACCTGCACCCGCGGCCACCCGGGAGGAGGAGCAGGCCCCGGCACCTTCAAGCGGGGTCCCCAGAATGCCAGAGCCGCCACTTGCCTCTGGAACAACTGGCTTCCATCCCTGAGCAGCCCCCTGACCACCTGGGGAGCCCACCCCAGCTCCCACCGCGGGCTCGTGATGGCTGCAGCCCAACGGAGGCTTGCCCTCCCCTGTCACTTGATTCTTTCTATATTTTGAGTTTTTCTTTAACCTGTATAATGCCTTATGAGTTTTATCGTAATAAATTATAAGTTAACTTCAAACAAAATTCACTCTGATGCTTTTAAACTATACATCGTGGACCTACACTTTAGGTCCATTCACAGTGTCACAGGCCCCAGAGCCCAGGGCACCGGGGGACACAGCCCAGGATCGGGTGCACCCCCGGGTCAGGCAGAGGCCGGGAGGACACAGGACAGCCAGGGGGCTCCTGCCCCCGGGCGGCCCGAGCTGTACAGATCGGCGGGCCCGCCCCTGGAGCATCCAGGGCCCTGTGCACTGGGAGCTGCGGTAGTCACTGCGGGAGCTGACTCCAGGGCTGCACAGCTGGCCGCCCCCACTGTTGTTGTCCCTCCTGGTGTCACCCTGTACCTGGGACTGAGCAGGGGCCTCACAGATAAACAACTCCCACTGAGCCATACACGTGGCAGGGGCCTGGGTAGCTCCCCAGGTGCACACACCTGAGAATCAGCACAGCAGGCCCCTCCCCCAGAAGACCAGCTAGAAGGTCAGGGGAAAAGCAAGGTATTGACCAGGCAGCACTGGAAAGTTCCAGGGGAAGTCGAGGGATTTACAGTATATAGAATCAGAGGATACTCCCCCTTGTTTTTTTCTTTTCTGTTTGTTTCTGCTGTTTCCCCACCCCCTTTTTTATTCTTTTTATTTCTTCTTTTATCTCTCTCTCTCTCTCTCTCTCTCTCTCTCTCTCTCTCTCTCTCTCTTTCTCATTATTCCAGTACAACTTGTCTTTGGCCACTCCGCACTGAGTAAAATGGCTAGAAGGAAAAACTCACCTCAAAAGAAAGAAATCAGAAACCGTCCTCTCTCCCACAGAGTTACAACATTTGGATTACAATTCAATGTCAGAGAGCCAATTCAGAAGCACAGTTATAAAGCTACTGGTGGCTCTAGAAAAAAGCATAAAGGACTCAAGAGACTTCATGACTGCAGAATTTAGATGTAATCAGGCCAAAATTAAAAATCAGTTAAATGAGATGCAATCTAAACTGGAGGTCCTAACAACCAGGATTAACGAGGTAGAAGAACGAGTGAGTGACACAGAACACAAGTTGATGGCAAGGGCAGAAACTGAGGGAAGAAAAGAAAGACAATCAAGAGACCATGAGGATAGGTTAAGGGAAATAAATGACAGCCTCAGAAGGAAAAATCTACGTTTAATTGGGGTTCCCGAGGGCGCCAAAAGGGACAGAGGTCCAGATTATGTATTTGAACAAGTCATAGCTGAGAAATTCCCTAACTTGGGAAGGGAAACAGGCATTTAGATCCAGGAGACAGAGAGATCCCCCCCCCCCCGCCAAAAATCCATAAAGACCGCTCAACATTTAACATTGAATTTAATACTGAAACTTGCAAATTCCAAAGATAAAGAGAAGATCCTTAAAGCAGCAAGAGACAAGAAATCACTAACTTTTTGGGGAGAAGCATTAGGACAACAGCAGACCTCTCTCAACAGAGACCTGGGAGGCAAGAAAGGGCCGGCAGGATATAGTCAGGGTCCTAAATGAGAGGAACCTGCAGCCAAGAATACTTTATCCAGCAAGGCTCTCATTCAGAATAGAAGGAGACATAAAGAGCTTCCAAGATAGGCAGAAACTGAAAGGATATGTGACCACCAAGCCGGCTCTGCCAGAAATATTAAGGGGGACCCTGTAAAAGAAAGAGGAAGTCCAAGGAAACAATCCACAAACACAGGGACTGAATAGGTATCATATTCAGGTATCATAAATCCATATCTTTCAATAGTAACTCTGAACGTGAACGGGCTTAATGACCCCATCCAAAGGCGCAGGGTTTCAGACTGGATAAAAAAAGCAAGGCCCATCTATTTGCTGTCTCCAAGAGACTCATTTTAGACATCAGGACACCTACAGTCTGAAAACAAAAGGTTGGAGAACTGTGTACCATTCAAATGGTCCTCAAAAAAAGCAGGGGTAGCCATCCTTATATCAGATAAATTAAAGTTTATCCCAAAGACTGTAGTGAGAGGTGAAGAGGGACACTATATCATACTTAAAGGATCTATCCAACAAGAGGACCTAACAATCATGAATATTTATGGCCCGGATGCGTGAGCCGCCAAGCAGATCAATCAATTAATAACCAAAGTTAAGACATACTTAGATAATAATACACTTCTACTTGGGGACTTCAATGTAGCGCTTTCTGCAATCGACAGGTCTTTCAAGCACAACATCTCCAAAGAAACAGGAGCTTTAAATGATACCCTGGACCAGATGGATTTCACAGATATTTACAGAACTTTACATCCAAACGCAACTGAATACACATTCTTCTCAAGTGCACATGGGGCTTTCTCCAGAAGAGACCACAAACTGGGTCACACATCAGGTCCTAACTGATACCAAAAGATTGGGATCGTCCCCTGTGTATTTTCAGACCATAATGCTTTGAAACTAGAACTAAATCACAAGAAGAAGTTTGGAAGGATTTCAAACACGTGGAGGTTAAGGACCATCCTGCTAAAAGGTGAAAGGGTCAACCACGAAATTAGAGAAGAATTAAAAAGATTCATGGAAACTAATGAGACTGAAGACACCACCATTCAAAATCTTTGGGATACAGCAAAAGCAGGCCTGAGGGGGAAATGCATCACAATACAAGCATCCATCCAAAAACTGGAAAGAACTCAAATACAAAAGCTAACCTTGCACCTAAGGGAGCTGGAGAAAAGACAGCAAATAGATCCTACACCCAGCAGAAGAAAAGGGTTAAAAAAGACTCGAGCAGAACTCAATGAAATAGAGACCAGAAGAACTGTGGAACAGATCAACAAAACCAGGGTTTGGTTCTTTGAAAGAATTAATAAGATAGATAAACCACTAGCCAGCCTTATTTAAAAGAAGACAGAAAACACTCAAATTAAAAAAATCATGAAAGAGAAAGGAGAGATCACTACTAACACCAAAGAAAGGACCTAGAGTGTATTCTATACGTTGAGCAAAGTCAGTCATTCAGACAAAGTACCGGATGATTTCACTCATATGTGGAATTAAAACAACAACAACAACAACACACGAATATAGGGGAAGGAAGGAAAAGAGTGGGAGGTATACTATAAGAGATTCTTTAGTACAGAGAACAAGAGGCTTGCTGGAGGGAAGCAGGGCATGGGATTGGCGTGGTGATTGGCATTGAGGAGGGCACTTGTTATGTGTTATACATAAGTGATGAATCACTAAATACTAGTCTTGAACCAATATTACAGTGTATGTTAACTAACTAGAATTTAAGTAAAAACTTGAAAAAAAATAAGGAAAGAACACTCATGGAATGGTAAAGCTTGCAGGGACCACGGTAGTCCAGTAGCAAGCACCTTGTGCATTAAAAGATGAGGAAGGGGCGCCTGGATGGCACAGTCAGTTATGTGACCAACTGTTGGTTTCAGCTTGGATCCTGATCTCAGGGTCATGAGGTCGAGTCCCACATCGGGCTCCGTGCTCCATCTGGAGCGTGTTTCCCGCTCTCTCTAACTCCCACTTGTGCTCTCTCTCCCTCTCTCTGATATATATATCTTAAAAAAATTAAGATGAGAAAAATAAATCACATTTTCAGACACAGTGCAGACCCTGGAGCTACAAAGCCTCACCTATACCACACACTACCCTGCTTGCCTCATCTTTCCTCAAGCTCCCTTTTCTGCTCTCTCTTCCTCCTTTTTCTTTCCTAGACACCATATGCTTAGTGAGGCCAGCAGGACCAAGAGCTAAAAATGTCCTGGGTGTGGCCCTTCATAAAGGCTTTCATCAAAGGCACTTACCTTGAAGTTGAAGCCATGATGAGCCAGGAACAGAGACTTGTCTATATGTGCAGAGTCAAAGAACCTGTAAGACAGCAAAAGTCGACTTTTAAAAATTGTATGCCGGGCAGCCCGGGTGGCTCAGTGGTTCGGCGAGTGCCTTCGGCCCAGGGTGTGATCCTGGACACCCAGGATCGAGTCCCACGTCAGGCTTCTGCGTGGAGCCTGCTTCTCCCTCTGCCTGTGTCTGTGCCTCTCTCTCCCTTCTGTGTCGCTCTCATGAATAAATAAAGAAAATCTTTAAAAAATAAAAAAATAAAATAAAATATGTATTCTTTCATTGTAAAGGTCCTTAACTATCAATTTCACTTGAAAAAAAATGTATGTTAATTAGCAAGGAATAGGACCTTCTCACCATTTAAGTGAAAACAAAACAAAACAAAACACATGTTTAGCTTAAAGTTCACCAGCAGTAAGCAGAGGATGGATTGAAAACACACACAGCAGAGGGGGTCTAGTCAACTGGCCAATCAGAGGGAAAAACAACGAGCTCTCCACCTCCTGCTGAAACATATTATAGGTCAAAGGTTTTCACCGTCAAAACTACTGGCATGTGAGCCGGATGAACCTTTGTTGGGGGGCTGTCCTGTGAATTACGGGATTTTAACAGCTTTCCGGAACTCTACCCACTAGATGCCAGTAAAACACGGATCCCCTACCTGTGAAATCAAACATGTTTCCAGACATTGCCATACGTCCCATGGGGGACAAAATTGCAGCTGGTTGACAACTATTATTCTATATCAAGACTACCAATAGATCCTACTGTAAAGAGGAAATACTGTCTACTAGTGCTGCCCAATATGGTATGTGGTTATTAGATATCTGATATATATGGCGAGTGTGATTGAGAAAGTGAATTTTTAATTTTATATAATTTTAATTAATTTTAATGTCAATTATCACATGTGCCTGGCCAGTGACCACCGTATTAGTGAAGTCCCAGATGGATAAAGAACCAATTATGAAACAACGTTCTCTTAACAACCAACAGGTCAAAGAAGAAAAAATTCTTTCATAGAATCACTTAAGGGGGAAATTAAAAAGCATCTTGAGGCCATCTGGGTGGCTCAGTTGGTTAAGCCTTCGACTCCTGCTTTGGCTCAGATCATGATCTCAGGATCTTGAGATGGAGCCCTGTGCCGGGATCTGCAGTGAGTGTGGAGCCTGCTTAAGATTCTCCCTCTCCGGATGCGGAGAAAAGGGAACACTCTTACACTGTTGGTGGGAATGTGAACTGGTGCAGCCACTCTGGAAAACTGTGTGGAGGTTCCTCAAAGAGTTAAAAATAGACCTGCCCTATGACCCAGCAATTGCACTGTTAGGGATTTACCCCAAAGATTCAGATGCAATGAAACGCCGGGACACCTGCACCCCGATGTTTCTAGCAGCCATGTCCACAATAGCCAAACTGTGGAAGGAGCCTCGGTGCCCATCGAAAGATGAATGGATAAAGAAGATTCGGTTTATGCATACAATGGAATATTACTCAGCCATTAGAAACGCCAAATACCCACCATTTGCTTCAACGTGGATGGAACTGGAGGGTATTATGCGGAGTGAAGTAAGTCAGTCGGAGAAGGACAAACAGTGTATGTTCTCATTCATTTGGGGAATATGAATAATAGTGAAAGGGAATATAAGGGAAGGGAGAAGAAATGTGTGGGAAATATCAGAAAGGGACACAGAACATAAAGACTCCTAACTCTGGGAAACGAACTAGGGGTGGTGTAGGGGGAGGAGGGCGGGGGGTGGGGGTGAATGGGTGACGGGCACTGCGGGGGACACTTGACGGGATGAGCACTGGGTGTTATTCTGTATGTTGGTAAATTGAACACCAATAAAAATTAATTAAAAAAAAAAGATTCTCCCTCTGCTTTCCCCCTGCCCCAACCCACTCCTGGGTTCTCTCTCTTACATAAATACATAGTATCTTGAAACAAATGAAACAAGGAAAGCCAATATACCAAAACATTTAGGCTGCAGCAAAAGATTTCTAGGAGAGCTTAATGCTATAAACACATACAGAGAAAAATATATACATAAATATCTCAAGGAACTCTAGAAAGAATAGATGAATGGATAAAGAAGACGTGGTACATATGCGATGGAGTATTATTCAGTTATAAAAAGAATGAAATCTCGTCATTTGGAATGACGTACATGGAGCTAAAGAGTAATACTAAGCGAAATAAGTGAGTCAGAGAAACACAAATATCATATGATTTCATTCCTAAGTGTAATTTAAGAAAAAAAAAAAAAAGAATGTGCAAAGGGGGCCACCTAGGTGGTTCAGACGGTAAAAGCATCTGCCTTTGTGTGTTGTTTATTTTTTTCACTTCACGAGACTTAATACTCTTTCATGAAAAGAACTCTTACTAAACTAGGAGTAAAAGTAAACCAACTAAACATAATAAAGACCAAATATGAAAAAAAAAAAAACATCCCAACTAATGTACAAAATAGCAAAAGACTCAAACTTTTCCTCTAAAAATAGGATCAAAATAAAGTTCTTTACTCTGGCCTTTCCATCAAATCTAGTACTAGAAAACTTAGCCAGAGCAATTAGGCAAGTAAAAGAAAGAAAAAACATCAAAACTGGAAAGGAAGAAGAATAATCTTATTTGCATATAACATAATCTTATACGTAGAAATCGTAAGGGTTAAAAAAATTAGAAGCAGTAAACAAATTCAACAAGGTTGCAGAAATGAAATCCAACACACCAAGAAGCAGTTGCGTCTCTATCTGTTAACAATGAACAGTTTGAAGTGGAACTCAAGAACACAACTCCATTTACCACAACACCGAAAAAAAGTAAGATATTCAGGAGTAAGACTAATGAAAGAAGTGAAAGAATCATACACTGAACATGAGAAAACATATGTAAGAGTAATGTTTAAAAAAAAAAAACCCAAAATAGATATCTTGCATTCATAAGTTGATAGACTTGATATTTTTTTAAAAGATTTTACTTATTTATTCATGAGAGACACACGGAGAGAGAGGCAGAGACACAGGCAGAGAGGGAAGCAGGCCCCGTGCAGGGAGCCTGATGCGGGACTCGATCCGGGGACTCCAGGATCATGCCCTGAACCAAAGGCAGACGCTTAACCACAGAGCCACCCGGGCTTCCCGATGATAGACTTAATATTGCTAAAATGTCAATGCTGCCCAAAGTACTTCACAGGTTCAGGGCAATCTCTATCAAAATCCCGATACCATTTTTTTTTCCAGAAATCGAAAAATCCGTCCTAAAATTATTTGGAATCAAGGGAAGCCAAATAGCCAGGATAACTTTGGGAAAAAAGAACAAAGTTGGAGAATTCACATGTCCTCATTTCGATACATTGTCCAGCTAAAGAAGTCAAAATAGCATGGCCCTGGTAGAAAGGTAGATCTACACAGACCAGTGAAGTGTAACAGAACCAGAAAGAAAGCCTCATGTATATGGTCAGGTAATCTTCAAAAAGGACGTCAAAACTACCCAATAGGGAAAGGAGAGTCTCTCTAACAAATGCTGTTGAAAACACTGAGTATCTACATGCAAAACAATAAAGTGGGCTCTTGCCTGACATCATGCACAAAGACTTAACTCAAAATGTATCAAAGAACTAAACGTAAAAGTTAAAATTATAAAACGCTTGCAAGGAAACATAGGGAAAAGAGTCCCAATATCAGATCTGCCAATGATTTCTCTCTTTTTTTAAACAGGCTCCATACCCAGGGTGGAGCCCCATATTAGGCTCCAACTCACAACCCTGAGATCAAGACCTGAGCTGACATGGAGTCCTATGCTTACTGACTGAGCCACCCAGGATCCCCGGACCTGGCAATGATTTCCTGACTACGAAACCAAAGCACCAGCAAACAAGTAAACATACACAAATGGGGTCTATAAAACGTCAAATGCATCAAAGGATACAATCTAGAGAGTGAAGAGACAACGAATAGAATGGGGAAAATATGTGCAAATCATGTATTTGACAATAAGTGAATATACAAAAAACTCCTACGAACTTCGTCACAAGGCAACAAGTAGCCCAATGGAAGAAAGGACGAAGAGCTTGTACAGACATTCCTTGAAAGATGTATAAATGGCCAATGAACCTATGAAATGCTGCTCCACATCACTAACCATTAAAAAAGGCAAATCACAACCACGATGAGGGTCACCTCACACCCATTAGGATGACCACTATTAAAAAATAAAATGTTGGCAAGGATATGGAGAAATCGGGACACTTGTGCGTTGCGGATAGGAATGTAAAATGGTGCAACCACTATGTAAACAGTATGAGAGTTCCTCAAAAAAAAAAATTAAAAATACAACTACCATATAACCCAGCAATCCTACTTCTGGGCTACGTGTAGTCAAAAGGATTGAAAGCGGGGTCTCCAAGAGACCTCCATCTTCAGAGAAGCATTCTGTGTCATAGCCACGGGGTGGGAGCAACTCACATGTCCATCAAAGGTAAATGGATAAAGAAAACGTGGTATATACTGATGTTTATTTATTTATGAGAGACACACGGAGAGAGAGGCAGAGACACAGGCAGAGGGAGAAGCAGGCTCCATGCAGGGAGCCCGAGGGGGGACTCGATCTCAGGTCCCCAGGATCAGGCCCTGGGCCAAGGCGGTGCTAAACCGCTGAGCCACCCGGGCTGCCCTCTCTTTCTTAGTAAAGAGAAATTTTACCACATTGCAAGCACAGTATGACACAATCACTTGTACATTTTCAATAGCTTAGTCTACACCCCCAGGTGACTCGGGCTGAGCGTCCACCTTCGGCCCAAGGCCTGATCCTGGGATCCGGGATCGAGTCCCCCATCAGGCTTCCTGCATGGAGCCGGCTTCTCCCTCGGCCTATGTCTCTGCCTCTCTCACTCTCTGTCACTCTCATGAATAAAGAAATAAAAATCTTTAAATAAAAAAAAAAATAAAACAAAATAATTCGCTTAGGCGTTTGCTGGAAGGTGCTGCTTGTTGCTCAACTTAGGGTCCGTGGAATCCGTGAGGCACGATCA